AGAAACGCAAACCGTGACTGCCCCTACGATCTGCGTCTAACCGTGACCCCATGCGGTTTGTATTTAATTTTGGTATAATTGGAATTATTATTATAAAATTGGTATTTTTGGAATTACTTAGTTTAGAGTGGTATTTCTGGAAAAAATCGTAATTCTTTCGGTTATGAAGGGGATTGCTATTCATCGCCCTAAAAATCCTTATTCGTCGTCCTAATCATGTTAATTTCACTTTAATGTTCTTAGTTATTTATTTGCCTTCTGAACACAGCGTCACCGGAGAGCTTGGATAGGTCGGCAACCCGTCTTCAGCGAGTATCGGGGGGGGGGGGGGGGGGGAAGCAGCAGCGGTCGACGGGCTGGGGGAACGGGAGCGGCGTATTGGAGAATCGACTTTTTAAAAACTAGAGAGCAATGGCTATCCACTACAACAAAACTCATATATAGTGGCTAAGAGATTTTGTCTCTATAAGTCTATTATTTGCCTCTGTATATATTTAGAGGCAGATAATACATTTGCCTCAAATACTCCAGTGGCTATAGCTCTGTAGAGGCAAATATAGCAGCATATATTATCTGTTCCTAGTTAAGGATTTTGTGACTAATATTTTAGCCGCTAATGTCACTTTTATTATGCCTTCATATCCAATATTATCTGCCCCTAGAAGGATCTTTAGCGGCTATTAAAATTGCCTCCAATATTATCTATAGAAGCATATATTTTTGTTTCTAAACTTAGCTAATGAGGCTATCAAATTTGCCTCTAATATTATTTGTGGAGGCATATAGTTTTGCTTGTGAAATTATTTTAAAGGCTAATAGATATACTTTTGTATTGATTTATTGGATTGATTTATTGTAAAAAAATTGATTCAGAAATATTAATATATTGTACAACATTCTATTGATTCCATTAATATGATAATTGAACTATAGAGTAATGAGTGTACATAAAGATCGAAGAAGAGGGAAATTAGAGTGCAAAAGTGGGGAAAGTAGATGACGCCTAGCATTAGTGCTAATACACTAAATACATGTGCCTTCAATGATATTGTCCTCTCCTGTATGAGTCTAGCGTTCAGTCAGATTTTCCTTCTCTTGTTCATGCTCCCTTCAATGAAACCACCATAGCAATATAGCCAAGTCGTCGGTTTAGAGCTCGCCCTCACAAATCTTAGCAGCTTCACTCCAGATCTGGGCAGTAGAGGTCTCGTGTGTGATAATCAATCGCCGCCCTTCTTTTTTGCGAATTCGAAGTGAAGGTTATCTGCAGGTAAGAAAAACAACAAAACAAATCACACACAAACAGAGTACCAGCATAAACAAGAAAAGAAAAGCAACATCGTTCAGGCTACAAGCGAAGAGGGATGCAGACTCCAGTGAATTTGGGGTCTTCGTCGGGTGTGGAGGCGACAGAGAGGCTGGTGGTAATAGAAGATCTGTCATCACTGCAAGTATCCCTCTCGTCACCATAAGCTCCCACCCGGGCGAAGATACTTCCTGGGAGTGCGATTACAGTAGTTCAAACGGTGCGATTAGGGATTTGGAATATGTCACGTATTTTGATGGATTTGGCAGAGTAGTTTTCAAATATAGAGATCCAAATGAATCTAGAATCAAGACAGAGCTCATCGTAGATGGGTCTCAAGGATCTAAAGTTTTGTAGATCTAGCGAGGCTTCAGGGTTTGGTCTACTTACGCCAACGATGGGGTGCAGGAGAGGGGGAGAATGACTCCGATGGTGAGGAAGACTCGGTGGTGGTGACGGAGATGACGCCAACGCCGGATTAGAGGAAGACGACATCGCCGGAGAAGATAACAGAGGCCCTTAGAATGTCAACTAGTAGAGGCATCAGAAGCGTAGCGGCGTCGGAATCGAGGAGTGGGAAGCGGGGCGACAACGACGAGGAGGTGGAAGCTGAGCAACGATGGTGAGGAGGAGGATCTGGCTGGATAAGGAAAAGAGGGTCGTTTTTGGTTAAGTGAAGAAAGAAAAGATTGGGACTTGGGATTGGGAGGGATCAGACATACGAGGGTGATGGGGACAGAGATAAAGAGTAAAGTAAGAAAGAGAGTATTTGGGAGGATATTTGACATTTGAATAATAATTTGGGGGAGAGATTGAGCGGGTCAGGAGAGATTCAGAGGGAAAATTGACGCCTCTCAAAAATTGGAAACTTTGAGGTTGGAGCCAAAAATTAACTATCTCAAATAAAATTACCAAATTTGTTATATATTGATAAAAAGGCTTGTAAACTATCAATTTGATAGTTAATTATTATTTATCAAAGGCTTGTACTTTTTTTTTTTTTTTGCAACAGGGGAGGCTTCACAGCCAAAGCAAAAGAAAATACAGGGGAGGGAGATTAGAGAGTAGGATGGTTCCCAGGAGAACGAACAACGTTCCTGGGGAAGGATTGACCTCTACAATCATCACCAATAATGATTTGAAGGGCTTGAGGAGGTGCTTCTAGATCGTACTTGCCGTAGGGATAGACGAGACTGTGCTTCGAGAGCCAGTCCGCGACTCTATTCCCTTCTCGGTAAGTATGAACTAGACGCACCACCCAATCTTGAGCGATTCTCCGTCTGATAGCCGTAAGCAGGGTCACCATCGGATGAATGGGATCTGTCCTCTTCTCGATGAGTTGGAGAGCTAATTGTGAATCCGTTTCTAGGACCAACATTCTGCTGCCGAAATTCCACGCCATTCCAAGTCCGTGATAAATGCCCCAGAGTTCCGCATGCACAGCTGAGCAGGTACCTATCTTTGAGACAAAGCCTCGAATCCATCGGCCACTGCTGTCTCTCAGAACGCCGCCCGCTCCAGCCGGTCCTCGAGTTCCATTGGCCGCACCATCAACGTTGAGTTTGCTCCACCCCGGCGGAGGAGGAATCCAGCTGATCTCCCTAGTTATGCGCTCAACCAAATCTGTTCTTCGACCCAGGTTATCCTTTGGAGCCATCCAAGCTTGGTGCCAAAGATTGGCTTTAATTTTTATAGCTTGGACTAGCGAGGAAGGCGACAGCGTCTTGTTGGCTCCTTTAAAAATCCCTTCGTTCCTGTTTTTCCAAATGTTCCAAATAGCAATGCTGAAGAACGCATTCCAAGGCGTGTCAGCCACATGTTTCTCATCCTTCTGCAGATTCGCAACGATCCATTGGGGCAGAGAGCTGCTGAAAAAATCTTGCTGCTGCTCGGCTGGGATTGTACGAGCCCAGACAAAAGCTGTCGGAGGACAGTCTCTAAGGATATGTATCGTCGTCTCCACTTGGGCTTGTACTTTTTATTTAATATCGACAGTGGCTATTGTAAATCTACCTCCATAAATGATAAGGTGTTAAAATGAAAATAACAATTTCCAACGTAATATTATTTAGAGGCTTATGCTACTAGCTATAGGGGCAAATTTTAATCTGTTGTATATACAATAGTTTTAGTGGCAGCTAGTAATATCTATAGAGGCAATTGTACATTTGTTGTCTATGAAGAACTTTTAGAGGCATATAATTGTAGTTACAGAGGCAAATTTTATATATGTTGTATATAATGAATCTTTATAGGCAATTATAATATTTGCCTCAATATTTAGCCACTATAGGTAGGTTTTGTTGTAGTGATCAATAGATATTTAGGAACCACCATGAAAGTTTCAAAGAGAGCAGCGGCAAATTGGTTTTTGGCTGAATAGAAAAACCATAAAACAATGGCTATTTGGCTGGACGACATTTACTAATTAATGGATCATTACTAACCACCATGGGTATTTGGCTGAACGACAACACTTGCTAATCTCCTCAACAACAACAGTAAGTCAGGGGTTGGGTGAACGGCAGCATCGGCCGGTATTGGTATTTGGCTGTTGGGAAAGTTAGGGATTAGGGATTGCAAATGGAAATAGGAGTATAAACGTCAATGTAGTATGGTTTAGGGTAAATTTTTTATAATTTTAAGACGACGAATAGCGATTCAAATAAAGTACCCTTTTACTGTAAAAACACCACAACAAAAAAACATCTAAATATAGTTGCTGTGATATAAATGTTGAATTGTTGATGCAGCGTGCGTGGGTGAGGGTAGAGGTTCAGGTCTGCTCGAGGCGCCGGGTGGTGCTTTTAAATTGCTAACGCCACGTCGGGCTAATTGTCTCTCGACCTGTGTTGCCCGTTGTTGTGCTTCCGCGACGTTCACTGGATCAAACATATTCAGTACGTCCTGCAGCTGTAGGCGCAGCCCACCAATATATCGGGAGACCAGTTGTAGAGGAGACTCATTAGTATCGACCCACGCCAGGAAAGAGTAGAATTCCGTCGAATATTCGTCTACCTTGTGAGTACCCTGGCGAAGATTCTGGAATCGCTGGTATAATTCCCGATCAAAATTATAAGGCAAAAATGCTGCCCTCAAGTGCTTCCTGAACTTGCTCCAGCACGTAATCTTTGCCTTGCCTTGTCGTGTTCTGGTGAGTTTCAACTGCTGCCACCATGCCTGTCCGCGGCCGTGTAATCGGATCGTGACCAAAGAAACGCGCCGATCATCGGGAACTTCTTTGAAGTCCAGAATTTCCTCAACCTGAGATAGCCAGTTGATTACTTCCTCCGGCTTCATGTTGCCATCGAACTGGGGAATTTCTACCCTAAAGCCCTGTTCCCACCGGTGGTTAGGGCGTTCAGGTGACTGATTCCGCAGTCTAGTGAAGGGGTTTTCGTCGATGATAATAACGTCATCATATTGGCGTTGCATCCGTACGGCTTCGTCCATTCGCTGTGTCAAAATCTACACCTGGGCGTCGCAGCTCGTCGTTGTCGCGGCAAACTTCGGCATTCTCACGTCGCAAATCAGCAAAGTCAGCATCCTTCGCGGTCGCAGCTCACGCCGTTCTGTGGGACGGCATCCCTCAAGATCAACCGGGCTCTCGATACCAATCTGACGCAGCTTGCGTGGGTGAGGGTAGAGTTTTACCGTAGCTCGTTGATTCCACGAATACCCGAGAGAGACGATATTTGCGAGGAACAAACTCCTCTTTTCTTATTTTATTCCAAATCCGAAAAACTACCTCCAAACACAAAGACAGACCGCCTTTATAGAGAAGGCTAACAAGAATCCTAGTCCAACGTAAACAAAGAAAAGGTACCGACGAAAATCGAAAAATTACGTAATGGTCGTCAATAATAAAAAAAGACAAAACAAACTTGTTACGTTGCATGGCTGCCGTTCCCATTATGGACGTCCTCGACGTCCTCATCAATTGTTGATGAAGGCGGCAAGCGGTCGTCACAGGTGAGCCTGTTGTTGAAGTTGGTCCTGTCAGTCAATAATAACATTTCCATCAGAAAACGTGAAGGATTTTTTTCTACTTTGGTTGTTGATAGGGGCCAAGGAAGCAGAACGCATATTAGAGAAATTTTACTTACTTCGGACACAAACAACGCATGGAATCCATTCGGAACCCTGTTGGGCAATTCAATAACTGCGACAGGATCAGCAGACATGGTCTTGGCATTTACAACAATTGTTGACGACTTTCTGCATAATATATATCACAGGGGGTTCACACTTACACTTACACAGTGAGAGACGAGAAGGACGGAAATGAATTTCGGTTAATTTGGGGCTTACCCGGTCAATTCATCGTGCATAAAGCATATCAGGTAGCCATCATCTTCCTCAGAAGTGACCCCAGGCACCCTAGGAACAAATACTGCTTCTGAACCATATCGTCCAGGTCCCAGCTCGAATATGCCTTGAACATTTCCTCCAACTTCAAGATTAGTCTTTCCCTGCTCCGGTTTCGCGTAAAGATCGAACTTGATGATCCCTGTGATCTTGGCAAAGCTGTTGATGGCTCCATACACATATCTCTGTTTCCTGCCAGTGTAGCTCTCATTTATCCTGGGGAAATCGACAGCTGATGCAGCCAGTTTCCTCTGTGAAGCAAGTCCGCTTTTCATGTTGAATCTCATCTCATGCCTGCTTGCAGCCAAAACAAGCAAACATTGAAAAAGCAGACGACTTGGAGCTTTCCAGGAGAATCATGAGATGAGAGCATGTCACTGAATTATTCTTACAGCTCGGTTGTGAAACTGTCAACTTTTTCTTTCGTACTGCTATTCATCATGTCCAAATCCATGTTTCCAATACGGCAAGTGATGAGCACAATATCATCTCCTTCCTCCCAAGCATTGGCTAGTCAATAAGAGAGAGATAGTAAACTGAGGCAGAGACAGACTAGAGAAGATAATGAGCCAAAGTGCACCATGGAAACCTCATCAGCGGTTTAAAAGAGTTGGCATACATACCATTATGGAATATAAAGCAGTTTGGCAGCTCAAACCATCTAATCAGAAGTTCATCCTTGGCATATCTTGGGAGAATCCCGAAGCGAGAACTTTTCATAGCATCGAAATGTAAAATGAAGCCCCTTTCTGTCAGCAGTCTCTGGTGGAAAAGCAAAATTGTATGCGATTTTAGCTGTCTAGCTACTTCAGTGCTCTCTTCCGAGGCAGCAAACCAAAAGAAATGAGTGTACCTTTGGTCGGAAACACAAAGGAAGATCCATAAAAATTGCATAATTCTCAGTGATAGCGAAGTCATGCATCATGATGGGCTCTGGTATGGTTATTGGTACAGGATCGTGCATGAAACCATCTTTTGAAATGACTCTGTAGGTGATATATGGTGGCTCAGTTGCATAGCCGAAAGCGAACATTTCTCCTGTATTTAGCAGGACATTGAGTGAGAAAAGGCTTTCCTTTCAAAAAAAAGTCAGTTAAGCAGGATGTCACCTGTGAATGGATCTACTTTGGGATGAGCAGTGAAAGCGTGTCCGAGTCTCTTGTCATAATCTAGCAAACCAAGGGTTTGCAGATCTCCATCTTCCATGACTTGAACCACATCTGCAGCATGCAATAAGTGAGATTGTCAACCCTACCGAAGAAAAAGAGAGCATCAAATAAATGGTTCTCCCAAGGAAGTCATTTGCTTTTCATCCAGTAAATATCAAAGGCAGACTGAACATGAAGCTTACAGGGTTTATCAGCCTCTTGAAGGGCCAGGAGCCTGCCATGGTGATAAACCAGAGCTGTATTAGCTGGAAGAGGGTATAAGAGAAGGTTAGTTCCGTTGTATTGCATGAATAATAAAGCATCAAGTATGAAACTCAAACCTGTAAGCCACAAGAGCATAATGTGCCATGACTGTGAAGAAACTTACCAGTCCCAAGTCCATACGACATGTCCAAGACTTTCAACTTCTCTCTCAGCATACGCAAGCCATAGGCGAACAGGCCAAAATAACCTTTAAGGTCACCTAACTGCAATTAAATAAAACACACGTATGATTGGCTTGCAACTGGTAGCTAAGCATGAAGGGACAACAGACCAAGACAAGATCCCACCTTGAGAAATTTGGCACCTCCATAAAACTCTTCCTGTTTGAGATGTGATGTCTTCACGTAGCGGCAAACATATGTTGCCTTTCCATCTTTGATGCGCAACCCATGAATCATTCTGCAAATTTATCCGCAGAACAAAAATCAGGGGGTGGGGTTGGGGATCTCATAAAACCCGTATGAGCATAACAGCTACTCATCTTCACAACATACCCATCCCCATCAAACCTGCACCAGACAGTAAAGAAAGAGTTAGGTAATCATATAATCTCTGTAGAAGACAATGCCTCAGAAGCATATGAACAGAAGTACAAAGCAAAAGATACGCATGCTGCAGCTAGAAGAAGACATACCAATGGTAGCCAGCTATAGGGGGGAACTTGGGATTAGGGCCAACCCTTACAAATTCGCCATTGAGGCAATCCTAAAGCATCAAAAGGGACATCAGTATTCAGAGAAACACGAAAAGAGAGGAGGGCAAGTTCAGAGTTGCGCCATGGGTCTGTTTTCATGTTCAAAATGTTAAAACTCTCAAGGCCAGTGAGGAGTGAACACAACAAGCAGAAGCAATTACTGATCTTCTCTACTTCACACAAATGCGAACTAAAAATCTCTAGCTTCATGTTCACGGTTCAAAATATAGAGGGAACTCTGCATGTTCCCAAATGGCGGCCACTTCATCCAGATTCTCAATGATCAACGTTGTTCTGGTCAAGTTAAAGCTAGTCCCAAAACCAACGGGGTGGAGGAATTAGATAAACAATAATTGATAACATCAAAGACTAGGGAGACAGCAGACACCGTAAGCGGAATCATTAGTTAGAAAACAGCGACTTATTCTAAATTAGAGGCTCACAGGGAGGTTTCCTTTAACGGGAAGATCAGCGGCAGGAGGCGTCTCATCGAGGACGGGAGCGAAAAGGCCGGCGAGGTAGTGAAGAGGCTGAGGCGAATCGTGGGCGAGCTTCACCGCCAATTTCTCCGCCAAGTCGATGGCTGTGGAAGCCAATCCGCTTCGGGGCTTAGGATTAACCTCCACTATCGCCGGGCCGCCTTGTCGATCATTCTTCTTCTCTGCCCCATCTTCCGACTGCTTCCCCATTCCACTTTGAGTGAAGACGACTGCTAGAGCCAGTGATGTAGCAATACCAGCAAGGAAGAGAGGATTT